ATCGCGTGGAATAGATTTCTCGTGCTCCGCGTGCAGAAATTCCAGGATATCGCGAAGATGAAGCAGCGAGAGATCTTGGAAGAGCGCTTCGCACGTAGAAGCGAACTCGAGTCGAGGTGGGTTGACCGATTCAATTAAATCGTAAAAAGCCGGACAAGGAGATGGCAGTAAATCGGAGAACTATTCGTGAATAGGGTGGAAACGTTAAGGTGATATGAAAGAATGATTTTATATATATATTAAAATATGAAAATATATATAAAGAAGAAAAGAAGAAGATGTAGTAAAAAACGGCGAATTTTAAGCGACCTCCGCCGCGACTTTTTAGGATTTAAGTTCGAACGATTAATCGCTTAAATCGTCACATTCAAGCAAGAAGATGGTATTAATCGAAGAACTAGCCATGAACTTAAACACTTAAAATTATGAACAAGTATCGAGGAAAAACGAGGGTGCCTTGAAAAACCAGGAAATTTCAGACAATCTCTCAGACCGCTAAAATCGGCGAAGAGTTAGCCAGAGAGATGACAGTGTACCAAAGAATAACTCGTAAATTTCGAGTGTAAAGACATCAATAAGTATTGTGGAGAGAAAGGAAGAGGATATCATGAAAGTACGGCAAGTTTCGTATAGCCTCTGCGTGTGACTTTTAGGTTAAGACGAATAACCGCTTCGATCAACAAATAGTCGAGCAGAAAGCTTGTAGTAAATTAGAAAATTATCCCTGAAGTGTAAGTATACAAGCATGAATAGTATCGGGGAGAGAAACGAAGGAAACAGAATTTCAGGTGATCTCTTGTGCGGACTAACCGCTAAAATCGACAGAATTAACCAAAAAGATGGTAATAATCCGGAGAACTAGCCGCGAAACCGCCGAGTAAAAGAGTCAATAAGTATCGCGGGAATAAAGAGGATGCCGGGAAGGAAGGGCGAATTCGAAGGTGGCCTCGGCAGGCCGATAGTGCGACTTTTAGGTTAGGTCGACCGGCCGACCGCGGGGAGGGCGGAGCACCGTGGCGCCATGTCGCGGGGGGTCCGGCAACCAACACGGGCGCGCGGCCCACCGACACGCGCCCATGCACCTACGGCCCTCCACGGTTATTAACATGGACTATCGCTGGAGGTGTGCCGATGGAGGGCCGAGATTTGTGATTTAGATGAGCTCACCTTCACTCGCCGTCCCTCGGCGTCGTGCCTCGGGGGTCATTGTTTCAACTTTTTAAAGTTTCACCGGTCGGCCCTTAACTGGACGCTTCCAGGTAGAGGGCAAGCCGAGGTGCCGCGTCTCGAAACCCGGCAAGATCCGGTCAATTGCGGCTACTCACGGAAACTACGTTAATTCGGTGTCAAAGACTTTACGAAACTTATATTTGCATATATTCGACAAAATGTATTTCCGGTAATTCATTCTCAAGTATTCTTTATTTCTAGAAGATTACCAAAAGTTATCTATTTCAGTCAATTTTTATATGAAGAATACATTTTGATCCGGTCAATTACGGATACTTACGGAATCACGTTAGACCCACGTTAATCCGGTGTCAATGACTTTACGAGACATATATTTCTATGTAGGTATTCGACAAAATAAATTTCCGATAATTTATTCTCGTAAAAGACAAAGGCCCATACTCGTATATCACTTTTAGCGTTAAAAGACGTATTTCGGAGTACCGTTAAAAGCAACCCTACTTATGCCTTGCTATTAAATCACTTTTATAGAAAATACTTAAAAGAAGCTATAAAAAGCGTATTTTAGCAGCAATACTCATCCCCTCTTCTAAGCTTCTTTTTGAACAAGGGTTAGGATAAAAGTGAGCGACTTTTATACCGCTTCCATCTGTCAAAATCATACATCAAATTTGGACAACGTTCAGTTGTCAAATTTTTACATAGATATTTACGGAAATAGATGATAACTTTTGGCTATCTTATATAAATGTACATTTAAGAACGTATAAGCGAAAATATACATTTATGAAGTCCTTTTAACCAGTTAGCTGTTGCGTTTCGAATATTGCCAAATCTTCATGACGAGTATACTGGTAAAAAACAGCTAACTGATAAAACATCAACCACGTAAACGATCTAAGAGGCGTAGTTCCTTGCATAGATCATCAGAAGAGGATCAATAAACGGAAAAACGTGAAGCAAGGTGCCCGGGCATCATCCCGCGGTTTATCTCGGACATCTCCATATCTCTCGCCGCGAAGGGCCCGGCTCAGCGAATTCGGCCATAAATGGCGGCGCCAATCGGCCTTTCGGCCCCTCGGGCCAGACTAGCGGCGCCACCCGCTCGCGTGGCCCTCGCGAGGATCGGCGGGCCCACCGCGAGCGGCGGCTTTCCTGGAAAGGGAGCGAGCCAGGTATTCCGAGAGTGGATAGCGAGGTATCCGGGCCCGATCGGTAGCCGGTAAAAGGGAGCGTATAAATAAGATCTATCTCGGGCGTACATGGGAATCCTTTAGCGCGCGGGACAACCGTAGATAAGGCGGGCCTTTCACCGAGCCGCGCGACCCACCGCCGAACGGCCGCCCGATAGAACGGCCGTCGCCGGTAGTGCTCCGTGTACCGGCTTGTAACCAGCCGCGGCTACCGACCCTCCACCACTGCCGTTTCACAAATTTTCCGACCCGGCTACCGAACGCTAGATAAAGACGAGAGCCCGACGCTTTCGGCTCTTTATTTCGTTTCCTTGCACGGAAAAAGAAGAAGAATTGTCAGGAATACCACAATTGTGGTAATCGTAATCCGATTGCAAGGTAACATACGAGCGAAACGTAGTAAAAAGAACATAGGAAGGGTTACTCCACCATTTAGTTCATGTAACTACAGGGAACAAGTTTGTCCAACATTGTGCATTGTTGTGAGTATCCATTTAAAAATTTACCGTCGACATAAAAAGCTGGATTTTCAGGATTACATACATTACACTTATGATTCTGTCAGTGTTCTCATACATTTCTATCTTAAGGAGTAAGGTATCATCCCGTTTCCCTCTTCTTCAGGAATGGATAGAGTCATTGTAACTTAAACGTAAGATATAATAACAGGTCTTATATACAAACGAGCAGTCTGCATCGTCTGCGAGAAGTTTTGCCACCTGGCGTTCCTGTCGAAACTAATGGGGCCAAACCATTGTTTCTGCAGTCACATAGGCAAGTTTAGAATAACCTCGCAACGAGGAAAACCTTACTATATGTGGTTACAGCTCCTAAATAAACCTTCCATTTTCCTGTGCGTATTGTAACTTCTCCAAATGATCACTCCTGCACCTTTTAAGCGCAATGCCATGGATACAGTACCTATTCGCAAGGTTACATTTATCATTCCATGTGGTCCATTTCACCATTTGTGTGGTTTTATTTCCTACAGTATTTTAACCATGTCCCTATAGTAATTGTAACCAAATTATTTTTTTCCCTGTGGTTTTCCGTTTTCGACGTAAAATACCCATTGGGGGCGGAACCGAAGTAACGGATCTGACGAATTCGTTGTCACGACACGTCGGGAGATACTTATTTAATAAAAATTGAAATTCCACGGGTGTCAGGACCCTCGTTAGAAACTTCACATTCACGAGGTAGAGTTCCAATTATTCGGTACATTCAGCTTGAATGAAAGTTTCATAAAAGATGGGCTCCTTAAATCGAAATTTCGTATCACCTTAAGACATCCGTAAATCGAAGAGCGGTTCCCTTTATTCTTTAGCTACCCACCCTCCACGGCTGCCGTTTGACATTTTTCGACCGGGACTGGTCGTGGCTACCAAGCGCTAGATAAAGACGGGAGCTCAACGTTTTCGGCACTTTTTTAACCATTCCTTGGACTTCTACTTCGACTCAAAATACTCGTCGGCGGCCTCCGGGGAAGCCGATCCTGCTTGAGCTCGGTCGTTTTCGTTATCGCGACACTTCCGGGATTACTTAAGACTCCCGTAAACCGAAAAGCGGTCCCATCGTCTATTCCCCGGCAACCGTCATCTCATCTATCGGTTTACAAATTAAGAAGGGCTTGAACTATTTATTTCTCATCCTACTTTCACACGATTCACGCAGTCTCACGCAAGAAACCTGCAATCAAATATGTCCAAAGAGATATCAGGAAGAGTAAAGAAAATTCGTTTAAATCAACGTTATAACTTTTCTTCTCGACAAAATAATTATTTCTTGTAATTATATATAATTTAGACAATAATGTATATTTGTTTCAGTCAATTCATCTTTTTTTCTCAGTGTAACGGTTAAGGTGATACGAAAGGGTCATCCTATACATATATAAAACATATAAATATTCACAAAATTTATCTCCAAACTAGATGCACCGAACCGTTGGAAACATCAGCACTTGATTATAGAGGCCCTAAGAAAGAACGAGGAGCTCGTGAAACTTCATTTTTGATAAAAAAAATTTTTTTATTTATCTCAGACTAGATTCAAGAATACATACATTTTATGTTAATTAAATGTCATAAACACCACGTTCTTTCTTAGGATCTCCATAAACACGTGCTGAAGTTTCAAATTATCCGGTGCACCCAGTTTCTCGAATGGTTTTATAAATATTTCAACGTTTTATATATGTAGGACGGCCCTTTCATATCACCTTAAAAAAGAATCGTCGCCCCAACTGCAAACCGTCCGCAGTCCCCGCTCCCGAATCGAGCGGTCGAAGTTTCCCGATCGCCTTCAAGATGGCCTCCGGCTCGAGATCTGGCCAGGCTGCTCCTCGGCCATCTTCCGGAGCGTCACGGCGCACCGGTGTGGTCCCCTTTCCCACGCGCTCGAACACACGCGTCGATCCGCTCTCCGGCGTTTTCAGCGAGTCGTTATGGAAATAACGACGAGGCATAACGACCCCGCGGTAACGCGGGACGCGCCGATTGGCCGAAGGACGCTCGTTCGGTCTCGGCTCGTAGGCGGCGGAGCGGCGACTGCGGGTGGGGAGGGGGAGGGGGCAAGCGCGCGCCGCCGGCGCCCGGTGGACGCGCTCCCAGACGCCCGGGAACAGCCGCGCGAGGTGGTGGTCCGCCGGATGGCTCTTCGTCCGGGAAACCCTGCGGGGGTTCCCCTCTCCGCCCCCTTTCGCGGGCCGAGCCACGACCTGGGCACCCGCGGAAGCGCCAGGATCCCGCCGAGGCCCGTCCAGGATAAACGGGCGAAGAGAACCACAGCGATCGGATCGCTACCTCGCATGGCGTGGCTGCCGGTAATACGGAAGAAGCCGTTGTTAGCCGCTTCGAGAGCTTCCCCGCTGATCACCCCGATAAACACCGCGACTGCTCCGCAGAGCGGACCAGACAGGTTAGGTTCCCCCGGTTACTGGTAACGCTGAAAATGGGTTTTCGATTCCTTTTAGGTTATGGAGAGGAGAGAGGTGCCGCTCGTCTGGATTTAAGCATGGAGATTCTTTGTGGGAGAGACTTCGAGGATAATGCGGCAGCGACCTTCGCCGCTGCATGGGATTATATCCAATCACGCAACATTTTATGGATGGACCTTGATCTACGAATCCGGCCAATCCAAGCTCTTCCATCGTCCTGGCGAAGGATTGATACTTGACATAATTTAGCGCGTTGATTAGATGTTTTGTACGTGTATTTCTTGTTTTATGGTACTGTAGGACAGTTTTAATATATATCTGACAAGGGTGGTTGTATACATTATTGACCCATCGAGTTGTGTTCGGGTTAAGGCGATGGGAAATTTTTTTCACATTTTACAATGTGAATGTAGAGACTGACACTAATGAAATTTCAATTTTGATAAAAAATTGTATACATGAATAAGTTTTGGAAAATTGAAATTTTATGACGGGCAGGACCTTCCTTGTAGTTTCTTTATTCTCATTTTATGGTTTGAAACGGCTCGGTATATCGAGTTCGGAAAAGTTTCATAAACGAGATCTCTTTGACATCACTTTAAGGGAGTGGGAAAATGATATAGTGTCATCTCCAGGGACGCGGTTTTCCGTGGACGTCCTGTGCAAGTAGATGCTGATGGGAGAGGGTTCTCTTCAAGATGCGCCGATTGAGACGTCCCGAGGTTCGGGATCGCGTGGAGGTATGTTAACGGGCCGGGCTTTTCTTTCCATCCCGGTGGCCGCGTCTTCGCCTTCTCCGCCTTCCGCGCGGGTTTCCGTGCCCGGCCCCGTATTCCGCGCGATCCCGTCCGCGGCCACTTTCGCGGGACCCCTGCGTGTCGAGCCTCCGAGCGAGTCCGCTTACGTGATCGTACGTGCTGCTCTGCCAGAACCCCGAAGACGAGGATAGTTGGTGTGTGTCCGGGGGGGGGGGGGGCGGACGGCTTGTAAAGCACGTCTTTAGGAGCAGCACGCGACGAGTGCCGAGACTCGCGGGAATCGTTCGCGGGACGTTCCTCTGGTGGAGCTAAAACGAAAGAGACGGCTGGTCTCCCGACTATGGGGAACAAGAGAGACGAATATACGGGCTCCTTTGGCAGCGGATCCTCCAGAAGAACTACCCGAGTGCGAGCAAACACTCTCACTTTGGAAGTTACCTGAGAAAAATCGCTGATCTCCCATGCACTACTTGGCGACGCGGACGCGCTGCCATCTTGATCCATCTTTGTCCATCAGGAGAGGAACTTCGAACATGGGAAATGCAGAACACTCGACACGGGATAAGGTACTTCTACACCTGTTCTGGAGAGATGGACTAATTATGCGCAATTTGCACCGAGCCACTGATCTCCGAGAACTTAACAGGTGTCTGTGATAAGTCTTACGTGCCCCGAGGCGCTTTATCTAGAGCTCTCGGAGCTTAGAGGTAACCGAAATCCCTCTGCGAAGGTTTTAGGGTTTTTTCGGAAGGTTTTGTGGGTTTTGATAGGTAAAGCTTTAGGCTTTTTCTTGAGCCTTGAAGAGTCGGTCCGGTTGGTTGTTGTCGAAGGTAGACGAAGGGGTTTTCATGGGGCAACTTGATCGAGCTAAATCGAAGGGGTAAAGCGATCGCGAGGTCGGAGGTTCAAACCGAGGATAAAGCGGTCAAATCTGGAAGGGATCTAACCGCGTTACGCCGCTTCCCCGCCATCCTCTTGCCGCTTCGTATCGACGATCTCCGATCTGTGATCTCCTGATGCTGGACCATAATCCCAAACCCCACATAAGCCCGCGATTCCGTTGCCAGAGATAGTCCCCACGGTAATACGATAGAAGTTCGGGGTATATCGGGCTTTTCGATCGGAACACGAGCCATATGTCGGCCTCGTCCTGCTCGGCATTATTTATACGCGCTGCCCCATCAACGTGGAACGGGATACACCCTGGAAATTACCCCGAAATTACCGAAAGGAATGGCCCCTCGACTCTGGCTGAACGAATTCGCGAACGGTTACGTACGGCGAGAAAATCAACCCCCGTGCTTACACGAAATGCTGATCACCAATCTCGGAATTGGAACTAAATTTGTAATTCATTCTATTTCTCTTTTCATTTTCTCCTTAATAGAAAATAATATTTTCGAGATAAATTGTCAAGTATTCCTTGCTTATACGAAATGCTGATCATGGATCTTGCGGTGAATCTGAATTTGTAATTCATTCTATTTTTTTTCTCCTTTATTTTAATGAAATAATATTTCCGTGGATAAACTGGCCAGTTTTCATTTTAAGCTAAATTTGGCGACATTGGGGATCATTTTTAAAAGATGAAATGGGAAAATGCTGAGTTAACGCTCTTCGAAAGGTTGGGAAGGTTGGGAAACTCTGGGATACCGGAGGGGAATTCGACGTGCCGGGGAACGAGATGAGTTATGTCAATCAAGAAAACTATCCTAACTACCGCGCAGATTGGCCGTGAAACTAATGACTACTGCTAGCGCCACGGATCACCGCTTAGCCGCGAGCATCCGTCAGTTATGAATGAGCCTTGATTTCCGAGTTGCCGGCTCTCCGCGTCTTTCCGTTTCTACGTTTCTCTCTTACGCAGTGGTCGAGACTAAAACCACGCCGTTCGTGATTAATGGAACTACCGACACCCACAAAGTGAATCTTACTTCTAATTTCGATCGCCCTTTAAGATGACAATCTTTATTCCCAAGTGAAATGTAAAAAATGAAGAAATTTAGAGAACGTTAAACCCAAACATACCATAGAACGAGTTTGCAAATAAAAGTTAAAAAATTAAGAAAATAAAAAAACATAAACCTAGTATCTAGAGATCATTAAATCCTGCATCGTTAAAAACGTTCCTAAATTTTGGTACAATTGAAGTATACATTTAACACGAAAATGATATATTCAATCTGACGATTTAAATCAATACGCACTGTTTACAAACGTTTAAACAATTTTAGAGTCCTTGAACCGTCTGGCAGAATATCACAGTATTTACAAGAAACACATAATAAATTTAGTGCGTACTCGAAACTTCCCAAACATGATTCTGGAATTTTTTGCGTCTTTTTTTACCGGCGTGGATTCAACCAGATCTCCCTAACGAGACCGGCGTGACCGGCGAGATGCGTCACGAATTGCGCAACGACTAGTCTCCGGAAACGTGTATTTTTCTCAATGCCACTTTATTTCCCCTCCGGCTTCGTCTTTGTGTGGTTGCGAGACACCTGGATGAGGCGTCGCGAGTCACGCGACGGCGCGCGTCCAGGAACCGGAAGCGTCATGCAAATTTCCGAAGAGAATTGCGGTTAGGAGTTACGATCCCCGCGCATCGACCAATTTCCAATAAACCACCTTTGACTCCCTTTTACATCTGGAAATTTCCGCAGAACTGTATCGCACCCTCTCCGAAACGGCCGCAACCCACTTTGACCACACTTTAAAAAAACCCTTCCTAACCTACACATATTAAGGTGAAGGGAAACACATCGAGGAACTTGATCGACGTCGATAAAGAAGATTTTTCTAAATGTCTACGTTGCCGATGCTCGTTTTTATATTGACATCTGTGTCGAATTATATTGGGTATTGTACCAAATAGCATACTCCACCTGTCGTTTTCATACAATAATTATAAAGAAATCGAAGTAAAACTCCAGAAATCCTCTGGATTCATGCTTTCTGGGGCCTTAATTGACTGCAGAGGGTACCCCTGCGCCATCTGTGATTTCCAGGTCAATTAAAGTTTCACTCCGGGACCTCATATTACCATCGTTTTAGCGTAGAAGCGCATACAACACTTTTTTTGCCCTTATCCCGTTCAAATGCGAGTTTATCGATTACCAGTGTGTTCTAAATTGTTGTAAAATTGTCCTGAAAAATTGAAATGAATGAAATTCTGTAACCACGAATAGAATTTGTGCACCCTCAGTAAAGTAATCGCTTTTTGTTTTCGACATAATAAAATTATTTCCGGATAAAAATTTTCCTGGTCCATTTTCAAGTGTTTGTAGTTGTCGAAGCAAGTAAATTATCTTTTCATGACCGTGAATTCTTTTGCCGGGTGTGGTAACTGCAGACAGGTCTTTTTAAATTTGTTATAAATGTCTTTTTCGTTTTAACACATTCGCGACCACTGACGTGAATTCACGTCTTTTCAAGTTCTATTCCTGGTTGCCGCTGACGTGAATTCACGTCGTTTTAAATTCTATTCCTGATTGCCGCTGACGTGAATCACGTCCATAACGATACACGATACAAGTTTGCGGCAACAAGTTTCAGAATTTCATTATTTTCGCCGGTACTTGGTGTTTAAAACGGGAAAAATTTGCCGGTCGCGAATGTGTTAACAGCCCCGCAGCGGACGGCGCACATGTACATTGGGAGGCTGTTAAGGTGAAGTGAAACCCCCTTCAAATCAGTCGAGCAGTCGAATACAACACTTTTTTTTAAGGGTATTAGACCAAACTGTCCGAAACTTTGACACGTCACTCCTGATCATCTAAGAATTGTCCGGACACATTCAAAATTTGGATTTTTCAAAAAAATTGTTTAACTTAGCCTAGACCAGAATCAAAATGGCGTCGAGCTCTCATATTTCGATCCATATACAATTATCGAAGGCTCTGATATGAGAAACGAAAGGGTAAGGACAATTTTACGACAATTTAGAACACTCTGGTAATCGATAAACTCGCATTTGAACGGGATAAAGGCAAAAAAAGTGTTGTATGCGCTTCTATGCGAAAACGACGGTAATACGAGGTCTCGGAGAGAAAATTTAATTGACCTGGAAATCACAGATGGCGTAGGGGGTCCCTCTGCAGTCAATTAGGGCCCCAGAAAGCATGAATCCAGAGGATTTCTGGAGTTTTACTTCGATTTCTTTATACTTATTGTATGAAAGCGACAGGTGGAGTATGCCATTTAGTACAATACCCAATATAATTTGACACAGCTGTCAATATAAAAACGAACATCGGCAACGTAGGCATTTAGAAAAATCTTCTTTATCGACGTCGATCAAGTTCCTCGACGTGTTTCGCTTCACCTTAACGACTTTACAGAGGAGACTGAGGATGCACGAAAGGTGGCAAAGGTGAGGAAGGATGTCTAAGGCGAAGGATACGGAGATTCCGCGGGAAATCGGGAACCACGGGGGCAAATCGATACATGCCGACCTAATCGGCGATCACTTTCGCGCCGGAGACGAGGGCCTCGCGTGATGCGCGGACGGCGCGAAGATTCGAACAGGTTCTCGAGCGCGGCAAGGAGGGCGAAATCGAGGTAAGGAGGGG